AAATTAACTTTTAATCAACATTTAAATTCAAAAACTTGAGGACAAGTTTTGAAACATTTCAAAACATTAGGGTTTAGAATTTAAATATACATCAAAGTTAAACTTTCAATCAAAATTTAAATTCCAAAACTTGAGGACAAGTTTTGAAACCTTTTCAAAACATTAGGGTTTCAACTATTTAAATTTCAAAACTAAACTTTGAGTTCAAATTTAAACTATAAAACCTAAAGGGGAAAATTGAAAATTTTCATAACACAAGGATCAAATAACAAATAATATAAATTAAACAATAAATTTCATCATTATCTATATTTGACCTAATTTCAATTACTTGCAAAATAAGTTACCTAATTAATACAAATAATCCAATCTTTATCATATAAGGAAGTTATTATCTAATCAATTGGTAATTATCTTTTGTTTAATCAAGGATATACTCAAAAATATGAATAAAATCGGATTTTAATGATCTAAAACAGATAAGGCAAGTATCCATGAGTAAAACAGCAAAAAAATCCCGAAATCCCCTCTTTCTAACGCTCGAACTCGCCGAGTACCCCCATGGACTCGCCAAGTAGGGGGCTACTCACCGAGTCCACAATAGGACTCGCCGAGTTCATCAGGCAGGTTGGCGAAAAATCGAATTTGCAACTTGAACAAACACATAATGAATCAATACAATAGAAACCAATCAAGGCTGTGATACCACTAATGGGTTTTGGTCATAAGAACATCCTATGTGCTCATACAAACCCTAATGCTTGGATCTAGGTTTCTCTATTGTACATGCAGTTCATCCAAGACTATAAACCCTAATTCTAGCATATGATAATCAATATTAACATAATAATGGGTCTAAGATATTACCTTGATATTATGTAGCAATAACAATCACAATTCCTTCTTGTAATGACTTTAGAGAGCTTAAAGTCACAAATGTCACTCCTCTAATGGTTCACAAACACCAAGAGCAAGAGGATGAAGAGGAGAAGAGAAGGAGGCTACCCAAAATCATCCAAAACCCTAGAGAACAAGTTTACCACGTTTTTGGGGCTTAAGGGTGCTATTTATACATGTAGGCTATTAGGGTTTTAAACTAGGAAACCCTAATCTGACTGCTTAAGCCCTAAGCAGCCCATGGATTCCTTTCTTAAAGGCCTTGGACGATTTCTTATGGGTTTCCCCATAGAATTCATCCAACCTTATATAATAAGGTAATCCATAGCCCAATTGCAATTATCTTATAATTACAATTCCAGTCCCTTAAGTTTAATTAATCTCTTTTAGTCACAAACTTAACTAATATTAATTAAACAATATGATTTCTCCTTTAATATATTATTCCCATAATATATTAATAAATCATATTTAGTCCTTTCTCTCCACAATTCATCCTATCAAGTTGCTTTGGTGAAGGCAACCCAAAAGGACCATGCACCATCGGGTCAAGTACATACAAAAATAGTTATGGACTTAGACACTAATCCAACACTAATGACTCTTGGCATGCAAAATGACATATAACGATTCTTGATGATAGAACCCAGGAAATAACAAAGAACTAAAATCAAAAATATTAAACAATTGACCAGGATTGAAGGAGCATATCATAACACTCTCAAGTGCATGTTGACCAAGAAGGCATTTAATTTTAAATTTTTACACTAGTTAAGTGACCCTAGAAGCATGTTGTTGCATGTTGCCCGATGCCTTTGAGACTCTATGTTGAAGCCTTAATGAATCGATAACAGCAATCTCTTCTTCCCAATTAGGTTGTTCATTCATATAAGTCATGAGCTACCTTACTCTTCTGATATTGAGTTAAGAGTTGATTACTTGGTCACTTTCGCATAGCAGCGGTATATTTCTCTTTGGAACCATCTCCAATGTTTCTCCGTCACTTTCGCTTCCATGAATGTAACCCTTAAGACTCTCGGAATTTACAACTAAGGTTTATGATTACACCAATTCTATGTTAATGATCCTAAATTCGTTATTACCACGAACTGAGTGAAACCCGAAATCTATCACATATTTACGAATTGACGGTGAATAATTTATATATTCCTGATTAATCACCACTGAATTAACGAAAATCCAATGTTGTTGTTTGTACCTTGAAATCTGTTTTATTTTTACGAGATCTTAATCAAATGTTCTAGACCTAAGAAACTTCTTCCCATAAGATCCAATTTTATTTTTCTTGAGATTTCCATATTATCCGACCACTCAAATATTTTCCAAATCATACTTGTTCTTATGACTACACTGGTCAGACAAGTATGTCATACGACTATTCAGACTTATTTTGAGTTTCGAACATAGTAGAAGATGAAGCCACCCCTTTCACCTTATAAAAAGATGCCTTTCACTGTTTCTCATTAAAAAGATGATCGTAATTCAACGGGACTCTACACAGACACTTCCGATTCTCTCTTGACTCTGAAGGAAGAGATCATTGCTCGGGATCCAACTGGTTCGTGTCTTACTTGACATAATTAGAATCCTTTAGATAACTTGATTTATTTCTTTATCTTTGGCACACTCTCGCACGAAGATCCTTGTGATTCTCAAAAGGTCTTGTTCGCAGTTAACATGGTTACTATCACATTCGGAGTACGGAAAATGGTGATCAATTGCAAAACATTACATACAAAACGGCGAAACTTAAGGGATAAGATTGCATTAATGGCACATGAAAATTTCAAATTGTTCCTGACAACATGTTGTCAGTTATGGCACCTGACGCATGCTTGACACACGCCAACCTGTCATGCTTTTTCAGGCATTTGAAGCGCTAAACACTGGTTTTTCTCTCTCCTGGAATACCATATAAAAGGATTTCGGCACTTCATTGATCATTACCACTCTCAAAAGAACTCGAAATTCTCCTGGCGATTACTCTCTACTATTCATCATCTTCTTCATCAAGCAACAATGGCTACCTCATCTAAAACCCCTTCAAACATAGAGCAAATGGCATAATCAACACTGCTAAACATCAAGGCAAACCAGAATCTCATTCTGTTCCTTAAACCTACCAAGTACGATGCCTTTCTTCAACCTCAAAACGAGTACTTGCATTATTTACCACTGGTTATTGCTTTGATGAATACTGAGAATGTGTCATTGGTTTATCTATCTAAGGCCTACTCAACTGCAAGCTACTAATCAAGGGAAGAGAGTATTACCTTTGAAATCAAGACTAAGAAAACCCACATCACTAAGTCACGGTTTATTAGCCTGTTGGGTCTTCCTCAAGGTCGTGACCTAGTCGATCCAGAATCCATCTCCAAGTCTGCTATTTTGGTGATGTTTTACCAAATAGGGTTCAGGGAATGTTTGGCTGTTGTCTCAAAATTCAAGAAACCAAACCTTCTGCCTATGTGGAATGTGATGCTTACCCTAATCTTAAAAATCTTTTCTGAGAAGGTAACAGGTTGAGATTTAACAAGTTGCTTCTCACTTTCATGTATGGCGTTACTCAGATGACAATCTCGATTATGGATCTGTACTATGTGCTTAGCTTGTTCAGAGCATGTTGTCTACCACAAGGCACAATGAGATCTCGTTTGCGCGTTTTTGGACGATTGTGGTTCAGAGGGCCATAGATCACTACAACATTCTGGTAATTAAGGGTTCCATTATGGCTAAGATTTAAGTGTCTCACACTTCGAACATCATCGTGTCTGATAGTTAATGTTTTACCTTTATCGGGTCTATTACTGAGACTGTGCTTCGCGACATACCGGTTGCGAGTGAAGTTATCCCAGCTTATCGCAGTTTACCAACCTCTGGTCCTCGACCCATGACCTATGCAGTAAGACAGGTTCTCGAGGAGGCTGATAAACCAAAGAAAGGAGGGAAGAAAAGAACTAGGGAAGGACCCTACAAACCTACCCAGACTCCAAAGAAGAAGGTTAAGAGAGTTGCTCGCAAGCCACAACCTCTAACGCCAAGTGATCACCGAGATTCAAATTCCAATACCATCTTGGATATGCCAATTCAGCATTGAACAGATGAAACTATTGAGATCTTGCATCTGATGGCTTCGAAGCCTATCACTACCAATCTTGAGGTAACATTCTCAATGCCTACTTCTATTCCAATCATAGATTTTTTTTTCTAGGATTTATCTGTTTCTTCGCCCACCTCTACTGTCTCCACTCCAATCACTGTAGCTCCTTGCCCACCTGTCTCTATGGTTGTTTCTCAATATCAAGCTACTCTTGCATAGTCAACTCCTCTGTTTGTAGAATCCATAGCAACCACAACAACCATTACTAGTACACCTCTAGTCATGGGCAGGTGCTTCAGGTTTTACTCTTGGTCACGATTCGCATCCCATATCACCTCTTCGCCAACCCATATATTATCTTTGGTGACGATCAAGATGACTTCGCATACTTCCACTATAGTCCTTTTCATGTTCAAGCTAAAAGTGATGATGACGCTCCAGTCACCAAAGGGTAACTCAAAGCAATCACTAAGAAGTTGGACTCACTACTTGAGTCTTCTAAAGTCTTTACCAAAAATGATTATTCTTAGGTGACAATCAAAGCTTTTCTTGAGACCCTCACCAAGGAGCACACTATGAATCTAGACAAAACAAACAAAGCAGTTGAAGATTCTGACACAACTTGCAAGGAGATGACCGAAAATGTTAATAAACTACTTTTTTATGTCAAAAACTTCATGGGTGATTTTCGAATATCCTTTAAGCCCAACACAACCAATGCAAACCAAGTGATTATCAGTCTTTGTGCCACACTCCAAACCGAGAAAGCTGCCCTCGGGAAGGTTTGTATCAATATTCAAGTTCCTCATACGAAACATCAAACCTCCATCTCTTCCCAAATAGAAAAACTTCATGAAGATTTGGCTATTGAGAATAAAATAATGGAAAAGTTCGCCATAAAAAAAAGAAGGTGAAAGTTTTATCGGTGAAGCTCACTCATGCTAATAAGCAAATTGACAAACTCTTGTCGGAAAAAGTAGTGATGAAGAGTTGCATTGTCAACGTGAATGCCTTACTCTCTAATATCATTGAGACTCGTGATTCTCTAATCATGATCACTGTCAAGAAGCATCTGGCTGATAAACTTAGGCCTATGTCTGCGATGCTCAACATTCTTAAGGGTGTTTCGGAGTCTAACATACTTCCAAAACAAGGGGAGAACAAGTCAAATCTTCTGGTGTTGAAAAGTCAACTGGTGGAAATGATGAAACTAAAAATTTGTGGATGATGATGATGAGGAAGAAGAAGATGAAACTACAAAGCTTAAGCGTAAGAATCGTGATGTTGAACTTGACAACAATTTGCGTATCGCTAGAGAGGCTGAAGAACAAAAAACGGCTGCTCAAGAATCTCAAGTCACTTCGGAATCCCAGTAGATTATATTTCCTCTGTGGACTTTGGAGCGTATAATGATTGAAGCAATTGACAATTCCAGCAAGTATTGGCTAAAACATGTTACATCCTTTGATGTGGAAAACTCTTCTGATTCACAACTCAATCTGCCAATTACTCCAAAAGCCTTCCAGCTTCATTGCGTCAAGAATGTTGCGAATTTGCCTTTCTCTGACAATCATGCTCATCAAATTCTCTTTTATTTCTATCTGAAGCACATGAAGCCTCAATACGAAACCTGGAGCTAAAAGAAGATAACTGTTATGAAGGTTTCGGGGCCGATTGAAACTAAGGCCCTATTTGATAATTGTTGACTGAGAAAGTGCTGACAGGGAAAGGTTTGTCTAGGTAAGAAATCCTGACTGAGTAAGAAATATTGTTGTTTGATTGTACATCTGACTGAATGTGTTGAGTGATGAAAAATGACCATTTTACCCTTCTATTATATATAGTGATTGATTAAGTTGCTGAATAATTATAAAAACATACATATTGTCATACAAAATGTAAATTACACACAAACAAAAAATGTCATTCAAAATGTAAATTAAACATAAATAATTTAATATCCAAATAAAAACATAATGAAATTCAAAATAATATAATAATTTAACGTAAAGTAGGTGAAAGTAGTTGATTTGCAATCTGATCACGCAAAACACACGTATATTCAACGACTTCTGGACCCCATTCTATGCCTTGTATGTTTTCTCTGTCAATTCCCCCACCTTGGACGTCAGGAGTAACCATAGTGTCCTCCTCAAAATTTCTAAACAAGTCATCTTCTATATTGTATTTCCTTATAAAATTATGGACCGCAACACAAGCAATTACTATATCTCTTTGTACTGTAAAGGATAAGGAGCCATTTGTTTTAAGATTGGGAATCTCACCTTCAAAACACCATATGCACGCTCAAATGCTCTTTTCATTCTATCTGAAGCAAACGAAGCCTCAATACGAAACCTGGAGCTCAAAGAAGATAACTGTTATGAAGGTTTCGGGGCCAATTGAAACTGAGGCCCCGTTTGATAATTGTTGACTGAGAAAGTGCTAATTGGGAAAGGTCTGTCTAGGTAATAAATCCTGACTAAGTAAGAAATATTGTTGTTTGATTGTGCATCTGATTAAATGTGCTGAGTGATGAAAAATGACCATTTTACCCGTCTGTTATATATAGTGATTGATTAAGTTGCTGAATAACTATAAAAACATACATATTTTCATACAAAATGTAAATTACACAAACAAAAAATGTCATTCAAAATGTAAATTAAACATAAATCATTTAATATCCAAATAAAAACGTAATGAAATTCAAAATAATATAATAATTTAACGTAAAGTCGGTGAAAGTAGTTGATTTGCAATCTGATCACGCAAAACACGCATATATTCAACGGCTTCTGGACCCCATTCTATGCCTTGTATGTTTTCTCTATCAATTCCCCCACCTTGGACGTCAGGAGTAAACATAGTGTCCTCCTCAAAATTTCTAAACAAGTCATCTTCTATATTGTATTTCCTTATAAAATTATAGACCGCAACACAAGCAATTACTATATCTCTTTGCACTGTAAAAGGATAAGGATCCATTTGTTTTAAGATTAGGAATATCGCCTTCAAAACACCATATGCACGCTCAATAACATTTCTAAGTTGTGCATGAGCATAATCGAACCTTTCTTCTCTAGTTAAAGGTCTACCTCTTTGAAATCGGCTAACCAATACCTAGTATTGCGGTATGGAGCCATAAACCCACGAGTGTTTGTATATGCGGCATCACAAAGGTAATATTTATCTGCAAATGAATGTGACACATATTATATAATGAGACATATTATATAATGAAGATAAATATTAAAAATTATATAAAGATTACAAACCTGGTGGAGGAAATGGAAATCCTGAAGTCGAATTGAATCCAACTTCTTTCAAAACTCTTGAATCATGTGCTATACCCTCCCATCCAGCCCAAACGAAGGTGAATATCATATCAAAATCACAAATTCCTATTACATTTTGAAAACATTCTCCTTTTCCTCTTCCTCTATAACGAGTTTGTTGATCAATGGGTACAACCGCATGTACAACAGTTCCATCTAATGCACCTATTGCTCCGGAAAAAATATTTTTTAACCGTCTATGTCGTTTCGAGTTATGTCTTGTTGGATTAGGAGTTGTTGGTACTATAATTTCTTTTGCAAAACACATCATTGTTATTAGGACCTCATGAAAACATTGATAAATCGTTTGTGTCGAGTGATGAAATCTTCCCTTAACGGCGCAAAAATGTTTGTTATGTCCTATAACATGTAAGAATATAGCTATCTTATCTTCAATGCTTATTGTCCTACTAGCTTGCAACCAATTTTTTTGGGTAATGTGGTTGCATAATAAAGCAAATGCCTCTTGTGTAAGACGCATCATATCGAAACATTGTGTAGGGTCTCCATACATCAAATCTTGCGTATACGCATACCCGCTTGAATTGTTATCTCTAATTCTATGAATTCTGATTAGCCTGTGCCGGTTTGACCTCAACCTATAAAACACAAAAAGAAAAGATACAAATTCACCATCAGAAACCATACTTGACCTGTTACAAACAATTAGGTAACATGTTAAAGTAACAAAAGTCATATAACAAACATCATATAACAAAAAACTAGTAAATAACAAAAGTCATATTCAATATCCAAATATCATCCAAAGTAACAAAAGTCACGTAACAAAAAAAAACTATTACACATCATCCAAAGTAACATCAAAAAAAGTCATCAAACATAGGATCCAAAAGTCATGCAAATAACAAAAAGTCATGCAACAAAAACATAGTAAACATCATCAAAGGTAACCATACTTCCTACCTGCACCCATCACCCACGACTCACAACTAGTAAGCGAAAGTGGTAACCAATCTTTCCTAACATCGGCACTTTCACCAAATAGCAAAAGAGCGGTTTTGTGTCTTTCATCTTCTTCTCCCCATTCCATTTTGTTTAATTTCTCCATACACTCATCAACATCCTTATCCATTTCACTTTTTTCAATTCTTTCATTTTTTTCAACTAACGACCTTGCAGGTTTGACAATCTCCTCTTCAACTTCTAATGCCCTTGCATCTCTTTTTTTTCCACCAACTTTTTTGTTTCCACCAACTTCCGTATTTTTTGAACTCCCCGAAGATTCTTCACTTGCACCTACGTGTTGTGTTGAGGTTTCCACTGGAACATCATCATCAAAATCATGGACACTAAACTCCTCTACAGGACGAGGGAGTGTAAATGATGGCCCCCAACTTTGAAAGCCAGTTGAGGTCGACCTTTCAAATAGTTGGGTGCAAAGATCAGGAAACAGCAGTGGTTTAGTTTTCAATGACAACACGAACTTGTTCAACTGTTTACAATTTTTATAAATATTAGTATTTTTATAAAATAATTATAATAGTATTCGTTATAAATATATTACCTTCCCCTCTTCCTTCCACTGTTCATCAGTGAAGTTAAATTTATTTTTTATAGGGTCATATATATTGTCGGTTTTGTTTTTCAGTTTCACCCAAGCAACATACTTTGATTTGTAGTAGTCAAAGTGGTTTCTCATTTGCTTTTGATCAACCTCTTTACCGTGTTCATTCATCAATTTTTCGCGTACTATCTTCCATGAACTAGCCTTAAGCCTAGAACCCTCACGACCATTAGTGGTTAATTCATGGATACATGCATCAAGAAAAGTTTTGTCCTCACTTTCGTTCCAAACCAACATCCTAAAACATAAATAACAAGCTAACATAAATTTCTAAACATAAAACAATTTTCTACCAATGAGATCAACATAATCCTAAATAGTAATAGCTAAATCAAAGTCAACAATTTTCTACCAATTACATAGCTTATACATGGAAAAAAATTGATTTCATAGCTTATACATATACAATTTGAGATTTCATAACATTAGAACATAACATCACACAAAAAAAATATGATTTCATAACTTATACAAGAAAAAAAATCATATTTAATAGCTTATACAAAGAAAAAAAATTCTGATTTCATAATCTATTACATACATTACACACAATTTCAGATTTCATAGATTATTCATACACAACATACCAAGTACATACATACATTACACACAATTTCAGATTTAATAGATTATACAAAGAAAAAACTTCTGATTACATAACATACCAAGTACAATGGTTTTTTATTTGAATATTTAAAGAACATATACACATATAGGGACGATTCATGATAAGGGGGGCTGTAACCTAACATTAATTCAATTAAAGCATTATCATTCAAGTATTTAGAGGGGAGCAACCCATTAATTAAATTAGCAACAGTAAGGGGCTCAATCATCGGCCAAGAAGATGGAGTTTTGACTAAATAAAGTCAAAATCGAATTCGATTTGAACAGACGAGGGCAAGAACAAACCTATGTGGACGGACGTAAGGGGAAGAATAGATCGGCGATTGGGAAGAACAGATCGGCGCTTGGGATGCCGACGTGAACAGATGTCACTGCCGTTTTTCTTTTAGGTCGCGAAGGAGAATAATAGATCGGGGTAGTGAGGTCCATTTTGCCAGTCAGATGGGTTTTGGAAGCTGACCAACTCAGCCAATTGAGCCATACATGCTGACCGAACCAGCCCACATCAAACATATTCTTGTCTGACCAAGTCAGCTGATATCGCTGACTCAGATCGGTCAGACGGTTTCAAACAACCCCTAAGAGCTTTACGAACGCTCGTTTCAAGGTTGCTCGGGGAGCTGTGAGTTCTTTTTTTGAATTCACACTCACAAACCTGTCTTGCCTGAATCCCTACGACTGGATATCTCTACTTCATATCTTACTCAAAGATGAATAAAAATATGAAACATTAGTGGTACATCTCAAGAGGATGTTGATATCGTATATCTAAGAGATAGGAAAGTTGGATATAGATATAGTGGAGCTGCTCCGAAAGAATCCAATTGTGTTACCCATGGAAGCTCCAAAAGACTTTGAGAAGATTAAGTTTGGAAGGATTCGGAAAGATGGCTGGTGTATGGCTTTTCAAATAACGGAAAGGTCTGATGCTGATTATCATAGAGACTGCTTCTACCTTTCGAATAAGCATCTTTACTCCACTCCCTGCCTGCATTAGATCTTGGAGATTATGGGTCAATGCAAAGCGAACTCTGACAAGGAAAAGTAATGTTTCTCGGATATGATTAACTGTTACAATCAAGTTCGCATG